ATATTACTTTGACTCATAAACACCGATAGAAATATACAGCCATTTACATTTAAATTGTGGATTGGGTATTCTCTTCTTCAAGACTGCCTTGATCTTGTAGCCTCGTTATATACTCTTGTAGTTTGTTGTCAGTATACTCGTAATTTTGAATGTATTAATAAATAAATAAACCTCTGCCAAGTATGGTCGGTATAGCTTCCTCACTATTCATATTGATTACAAGTTAATATTTGAAGATGGTTTATTAAACAAAAAAAAAACTTTACCTCTCATTTTATATGAAGTATTTAGAAATCCAGTTAAAACATTGTCACAGACAAAATTAGAAAATATGAAAATGACAAAAATGTAAGCTAAAATTCAAATTTTTAAAATAAAACAACTCATTCAATCTTATGATGATGATGGTTAATAATTTCATTTTAAACAAAATCATTGTATAAATCTAACCTCCCTTTCCGTATGTTCACTGCCCACCTCATTTTATAGAATATATTATGCCCTTAACAATTAGTTAAGGGCATTGGTATTAATTTGGTATATTAATTTGAATTGGTAAATCGAATTGTATTAAATTCATTCAAGACCATTTTTACTCCATTCTCCAAACTTCCTCGAATTTTGGGTCTGTCGTACCATACGAGCCGTTTTCGAAATGTAGTTGCATCAAGAACAGTATGTTTACTAAAGTATTTTAGAAGCTAGTGGATGGAATTGTTATGTACTTCATTATTTGTTGACCTATCCCTAACTTTCCATTCAAATTTAGGCCAAATCAAACATGCGTTTTTCATTTGGAAGGTGTTTCAAGGGAAATACGCATATGTTTTGCGCGTATGCAAGAGGAAGTAGTGAATGTAATTCGATAAAATTTATACTGCATCATTTTTTCATCAATCCCCAACTTTCTTTTAATTTTGAGACAAGTCGAATTAGTCATTAAGAAATATAGACATTTCTGAGATAATACTTTATGCCTTTGTAAACTAACGTATTGGATAGAATTTCATTTAAGCGATAGAATTAACGCTTAAAATTACATGACAATCGAATACAAAGCTTCACGCAGGTGAGAGATAAATTAGAATCTGGTAAAGTTATTTTTTCATTTTCGGTTTCGATAGTTGAGCTAGCAAAAAATCAGAAGGGTTATCATTCCTCTAAAAAATACATTCCACAAGATTAGATAGTTCAAATATGAACTTCCACTTTAGTAACAAAGAAAGGAATAGCATTGATAATGATAAGTAAAGAGCAGATTTTCGTTCAGTAGAAAAAAAAACTATAATATTACAGTAAAAATGTGTACGTAACACTTTGAACATTTTCATCATACGGAAAGAAAGATGAAAGCACAAGAGAATCGTACAGCAAACGGAAAGAAAGTGTGTTGGATGTCAAATAGGACAAAAAGGGAGCAATGGCAAATAAATAAATATGATAATTCCATAAAAATATGATCAAGACGTAATTATTCCACAGATCGTGAAGCGGATTGACAATCGGTTTTAAAGGGCAAATACATATAAATGATAATTCTGTAATTATATAAGGGAATAAGATGAAAATCTTAAAGAATCTTAAAGTAAAATGGAAGAAAGAAGAAATTTTAAGACTTTAATAATTACAGTAAATCCGATGTAGAGGCCGTAATGGTCAAGCCTGTTAAGGGGGGCCTCCTTTTGCATTCTCAAGTCAAGCGGCGTCAGTTCGAACACGATTTGGGCTGATTTCATTATTTCCCATTTATATACAATAAAAATTTTTTGTTTTTGTTTTTCATTGAGCATTTATACAGTCTGCCACACTGAAGGGCATTGGTACTAGGGTTATAGTATTCATTCACACAATATGTACATAAGAAAGGAAAATAAATATAAATAACTAAAGTAAAAAAAATATATACAGATATATAGATACATAAAAAGATGATGTAATATACAAGATAAGTAAAACAACAGATTAAAGTCGAATGATAATAAAATAAATAAAACACATTCACACCTATGGACAATATTTACATTGGCCCAGGTGAATCTGAATCAAGCTTTGTCCCCCAAATGTGGAATCCAAAACAGGACTCTAAGAGATCCCAGTGCTTCTCTCCCAGCCGTGTCACTTGTATTGTAAGCCAGTGGAGGAGAGAAAAAATTAACATACAGGTTCATCCAATATGCTTCATGAAGATGCTTGACAAACCCTAGATACATCTTATTTTCATTTTTTTTTTTTAATTTCAATATGCTAATTAGAATGAGGGAGGAAATAAAACAAACAGGTAATAAATAATCGATTCAATTTCTCAGCAATTGATTTTTAAATAATTTTTTTCAACTAATATTTCATCAGTATTAGCTTAAGAAGATGAATCAGAGAAAAAAAAAAAATAATACATTTTTATTTCACTAAAATATATAGAAAAAAAAGTAAAATAATTAATATTTCTCAGTAAGCTTTTACTTATTTTCCCACTTCTGTTCAAATTGAATTGTCAGTATCGCCCAAATATAGGCCTGTTGTCAAATAAGCATCAAAGATTGACAAATCTTTTGGTATTATCAGAACTTTACCTTCCATTGATATTGGTTTAAACTGGTGACAGCTGATAATAAATCACCTGATACAGTTGGAGCTCTGACAGCATTCGCTGACTTAATCCACCAGCGGCGGACTTATCCACCTGTCTTCACGCCCAGTACACTCTATTTGAATTGTAAATTTATGCTAATGACCAATTACTTAATCACTATGCAGGTATATATCAGCTCAAGGCCACCTGCTACAATTAAACAGGTACCTACCTCTACTCTACTCTCCGCTTCAGGCTAACTGCTTCCGTCTCCTTTAAGTGAATTGGGTCCATTATTTAAACAAAGATACATGTCCTTTTGTCTAGTCTAAGAAGATCTTTGTTTATTGTAAGAATCTTAGCAGGTAGAAAAGGCTTCTTAACAATTTGTCAGTACAAATCTGGATTTGAATAATATATTTCTCTTTATCCTTAGCATTTTTTACCAGGAAATAGAAATAGATCATATAGAAATACATGTTTGATCAAAAAGATATTAAATGTTTCTGTCACATAATGTTTTATCCTTCTAATAAATCTTCAAGAGTGGTATGAACATCTTTGAAATCAAACAGTATTATTTTCTTTTTTTAATATTAATTAAAATTAAAATTTTTCTCTTAAGTATATCTGATCTTTAAAAAAATAGTGTTCATCTATACACTATCTAAACGTTGTTTATGTGATGCTTGCAAATGATTCATTTGTTTATATTTTTAGAACAATGAAATATTTCTAATAGTTATATGAATACTTTTAATAATTAACATAGAATTATTAATAAATAAACGATTGAATAAATGAAATGATTAAAAACGATAAAATTCATAAATATTAAAAAAAGGTATGTATGTATAGAAATGTATACATATTTTCATTTTAAAGAAGTGTAGCAGTTTTAAAATATTGATTCCAAAAATTAAGAAAAAAAAATTTAAAATAAAAAACAACCTTCTTTTTCGAGTCTCATATATTTATGTTTTGAAGCTTTCGTTGTTCTGAACCACATTCATTAAAAAAAAAAAAAAATTACAAAAGAATATATACATTTATACATTGAAATTGTTAATCATCACTCAGGACCCTACCTAATTTCACATACCTTTACAATGCTCGTTCCATCCATTTTTAGATTTTGTTTTTAGTATAACTTTTATCAATCATTGTAGATTGGTGTCTTAATTTACAAAACATTTTTGTTTGAGCTTTTTCATTGTAAGTTAAAAAGGTAAAAAAAAGAGAAGGTTTTAAAAATCATGGTGTAATAGACGATTGCTGCGTTTTAATTCATTCTATTTTAATTAAACAGAATTAAAAATTTACTTATAATATCACATACTATAGGAGGAAGGAGGACCTCTGTTGTCCTTCACTTTCTGGTTTACAGTCTGACTCTGGGCTTTGAACGTGTTAACACACGTTGATAATAACTTATCCAAACTTGCACACCAAAGCAACTGTAAACTCCTCTCCCGTTAAATTTAAAGAAGGAAATTTATTTAAAAAACAAAAATTATATTTCCTTAAATCAGAAGAAAATACATGCATACATCTGAGATATCCGCCCAAATATTCATACGAAATTAGGAGGAGTCCTGAGTGACAATTAACAAATTTAATGTATAAATGTATATATATTCTTTTGTAAATTTTTTTTTTTTTAGAAGAATTTGGTGCAGAGCATTGAAAGCTCTAAAACATAAATATATGAGACTGTAAAAAGAAGGGTGTTTTTTCTTACTTTCAATATTATTACACAGTCTACCTATTTAAAAATAAGAAATTTGTAATTTTATATTGTTATATCTACTATCCATGTCTTTGGACTGGAATAATTTTTTTTATAATGCTGTTTATTAGAAGTGTTGAGATGATACTTGATGCATTGATATATAAGATATACCTATATTTTATATCAATACCTCCTGTTTATATTTATATTAATCCTACATAACCTTTATATAATATAAGATATAATATACCTAATAGTAAAATAAATGAACATTGAAGAATTGAAAAATTTATATATATAAGGAGTAGGATAAGATATAAGAATGAAAAAACTCAATAGATTTATTTTTTTTCCTGTATCTGCTACCATTAATGGCAATGATCCTTAGCATTTCGCCTGTTAAGCAGCTTCACTGTACTTCGATATCCTTGACCTTTTGTAACATAACTCTGGAGTTAGCTGTCATTGTGCAGCTGTACGATTGATATAAATAAGTCTGTCTAGTGTTGTCATTGCTTTGATTTGAGGCTGTTTTCTTTGATTGTTTCTAAATAATTAAAAAAATATCAATAGTAGATGTTATCAGATATTATACATTCTGGGTGGTATGGGACTTCTGAAACTTCAGCCCCGAAATGTTAATGAATTTTAAGAGTTATTTTTTATTTTTACTGAAATAAAAAACTTTTTTTTTTTCAGATATCTTCTATACCAGAGGTTCAAGATCAGCCATGGTTCTTGGAAGAGAAACCAATGCAGAAAACAATCAGTAGGCCGTAAGTTTAAACTTTTTAAACTTCATTCATATATATATATATATATATATAGTTTTAAATAATTTCCATTCTTATGCATATATATTCCTTTAAAGTAAACTGTTATGTCATTTTGTTGTATGCTAATAGTGTTCTATCTCTGTTAAAGGATCTTTGGCAGGCTATATAGACAGCCCAAAGAAGGTAGCAAATATTGTGGCCCTACGACGCTCATAGGCCCAGAGTTCATCATCAGAGGTTCTGAGCCAACACCTCTAGTTCATCTTGGAGACGCTAAGGTAAATTCTCCTTCCTTTAAATAAAAGTATATTGTATTTTTGTTTTTATAATATTATTATTAATAAAAACATATTTTGGTCAGGTTTCAGTTAGGCGAAGGGTTCTGGTTGTTCTACTGAATGGTCAGAAAATAGAAATTACCTGTGATCCCAGTTGCACTACAGTTTCTGATATTTTCCAGGTATGTATTGATTTTTAGGTAGAGTACCATTTCTGTTCTCTTAAAATTTTATGGTAGCAAACGAATACAATTTTTGCTTTATTAATATTTTGGAGGCTATTAAAATCAAGTTTGCAGAACATAAGATCCACGAAAGAACTGTTTAAGAATTTTAGCTTAACAATTTAATGAGCACAAAGGAGTTATTATAATAATAATAATACATATTATTTTTAAGAATTGTCAACAACTGATGATGATAAAATGTCTGATGTCAACAAAAATGATTGATAAGTATGCTGTGTTTGTAGCAACGCAATGTAATTGGGAGCACCCTTTTATGAAAATAAAGTGATTCTCTCTTAATTAAATATTTCATATTAATAGTATGTGTTCAACAAATTAATTGAAATTTAGTCTATAATAGATTATATGTATAATATGAGTTGCTTATTTCCAAAGTGAATCCTTATCACTTTTTTTTGTAAATCAAGATAAGTATGGATTCCTATGTAAAACTATTCATTAATCCGACAATACAATATTTTTTTTGTTCTAAAACAAATATAAATATTTATTTTAATTTGTTCCAAAAGTGACCCCACATAAGTTTAAATATTTAAAATTTTATATTAATTGAAATAATCAAAATATTTTAATATGTGCTAATAAAGATTTTTTAAAATTTATTTATAAATAATGTTTGGACTTGATATCACAATTGTGTTTAGTGAGTTTTTTTCAATGGTAATTAGGGTCCACTTTGAAAACAGCACACTCATATACATTATACATAATATATCAAGCAGATATGCTTAACTGAATTTACAATTATAAAATGAATCTTTATATTGAAATTACTGCTTTTTGTTTTACATTGAGATAAAAAATTGTATTTGTCTATAAAATCTCAAATATAAGGTTTTATTTTTGAACTCTTATTTACTCATATTCATTCTTATGTTGTATATTATTTCATCACCAACCACTCCTCATCTGTTAACTTGTCTTCGACCAAAAGTTTGTAAAGTAAATGGCTCAGTGATTCGGTTTTTTTTTTAGGTAGTGTTGAGATTGCTGGTGTGTCCTTCATTTTATGGATTCATGTTTGTGAAAGTTTTAATAAATGCTAGAATGTAATTTTGTTTTATTTAAATTGTCCTTTAGGTCGTTGTCCAGAGAGAGGGACTGGACCACCCAGTAACACTCGGCCTCTGCGTGTTAGCCTCAGGAGACTTTGTGTTCCCTCCGGGAGAGAAGAAGCTGGTCAAGGTCGCCCCTCAACCATGGCCCAAGACAGCACTCACCCTTTACCTCAGGTTCCGCCTGTACCTACCTTCGCTCAGGGGAACGAGGCAAGTATCTTTTATTTAGTCTTACATCAATATGTTATAATAATAAATAAATAAATAAGAATTTCTGCCTCAGGTCTTGGAAATGGAAGCACCTTCTTTACTTGCAGCTGAGACGGAGTCTACTCGAGAGGCAGCTAAGGGCTGCGAGGCCACAGCTGCTTGCCCTTGGAGGCCTTGCTCTTCAGGCAGAGTTTGGCGACCACGCTACGGTGGTATGAATTGTTTTAATTCTATAAAGTGTTTGCAATTTATCATTAGTCTATTATATAATAGTAGCATTTCTGTTATTTCTGATTTCTAAGATGACTATGACTGAATAAAGATTATTCTCTTAAAGTTCATGTTCTTGCCTAGGAAGTGTATAGTGTACTCTCTATATTTTGTGCTGCTGTGATGGAATCCGTATTATATCAGTATAAATTTGTTTGTTCCATCAAATGTGTACTAATGACTTTTTTCAACATATAAATCATATATGCTCCTATTTGGATGAACTTAAAATATATTTATTATTATGAGTGAGCCTCTGCTGGGCATAACCAAATACAACATAATTCACAAGATCTTTTATTTGAAAATATACTTTCTATGTATATTTTTTATGATTATTATGTGTTAGTATTAAATGAAATTGGTTTTTTAGACCAAAATTCAGAAAAGTATGCCAATCTACGTGTTGAAACTGTTGTAAATTATTATAATCTTAATTACATTTTAAAATAAGTTAATATGTTTTGTGGTTAACTGCTGTGGTTAACGGTTGTGGTTATATGCTCATGTTGAATTAGTATTGTTTTTCAAACATTCATTGTTTATGCTTCTTTCTTAAATAATTCTTTCTTCCTACTTTCTTAAATAATTTCCTTAATCAACAATTCCATCTGTGAAAAATTGTCACCTTCAATAGCCAGGATACACTTAAGCTGATGTCTTTCTTGGTCTCATACCAGTGGTTGAAGTAATTCTTGCATATATATATATATATATATATATATATATATATTTTTTTTTTTTTTTTTACTTCCATGATACAAAGATAATTCCTAACATTTGATTCAAGTATTTTTTTGTAAATTATTTCCAGCTAGAAACCATTATTAGCCAACCACAAATTAACTATTATTTGGATTAACCGTATACTATGGAATTCTGCTCAAGTAACTTATTTTACAAAATACTAATTATATATTATTAATCTCCAGGAGAAAACAGGTGATAGTTACTTCCTTGTAGAGCATTACCTACCAGAAAATGAAAGAGGAGAGCGAGAACTGGAGCTTCTTCACAGGCGGAGGGCTGGTCTGGACCCTGGCAGGGCTGAAGAGATGTTCATATCTCACTGCACCTCTCTCCCTGAGTATGGCACTCATTACATATCAGCCTGCGTTGTGAGTATAGTTTTCCTCATGCTCTTATCGTGCTTAATATTGTTTTATATTTATATTAATAAATATCTTCCCGTAGATTAACAAAGAAGGAGGTTCCAGTGATGTCTGGCTCGGTGTGAATTCCAAAGGCGTTGTTATGGCTTACAAGAGAGATTTCTCATCCAGCGTCGTCAGGCAGCCGCATTATACTTTTCATTGGCCTGATATAAAGAAACTATCGTATTCAAAACATTATTTCGATATAACTTCTGCAGATGCAAAGTATAGACTCAAGCTCGATTCTAATAAGTAGGTTTATAAATACAATCAATTATCAATTCATTTCACTAGTTTATTTAATAAATTTTATAATAGTACTTATGATCATTATTCATTATCTTATTGACTTTCTATCATTTTAATTATTATTCACTTTTTATAGAAGCAGCTACTTTTTCCACCTTGCATGGCTCCATCATAAGTTTTTTATGAAGCTGACTAATGAATATACGACTCTTCAATCGTTAACAGAAGGTAATTTCACTATTATCCTCTAATTACGTAGAATTGAATATTTGTTTTTAATAAATATTTATATTTACATATTATTCTAAGTAAAATTTTGACTTATTTTATAATATTTTTCCCACAGAATTTGGAGATATGAAAAGATCTGGGAAGAAAGGAGTGTTACATGTGAGCCCAGATGTAAAACGCCCTACAGAACTCGGGGCACTACGAAGAGCGGCTAGTTTACTCAGCCCTGATAGGGCTATTTTCAGAGGAAAGACAGCAACTCACTGCCTGTAAGCTCAAAACTATATTTTATGTATCAATTAAGTGTTATACTGTTTCAAAATTAATTTTAATAAATCCTATCCTTTACACAGTTTATACAGCTGACACATTCCAACACTGTCATCACCACCTATGCCGATGACCCGTGTATCCTATCAGTTAATAATGATCCATCAATTGTATCCCAAACTCTTCAATCATACATCACAAGTCTTGAAGAATGGTGTCAAAACTGGAGGATTAAAATAAATTCCAATAAATCCTATCAAATTACCTTTACTCTTTGTCGTAAACCTATGACTTCCTGTCCTACAGTATCCTTTAACAATACCCCACTTATCCCTGTTGAACAAACGACTCACTTGAAATCCTCATACCAGACTGAAACGACTAGAAACCGCCCGACATTTTCGACTACTGCAGCACTTACTAGACAAACGCTCTAAACTTCCAACTATTTACCAAGTACTCATATATATATTTCTACAATAAGGCCTATTTAGACTTACAAGATTGAGCTTTGTGGTACTAGTAAACCATCAAATTCCCCTTGTATCCAATCTTTACAATCCAAAATCTCTCGTAAAATTCTCAATGCTCCCTACTTTGTCACAAATAAAATCATCCATAGCAGCCTTAATATACCATATGCTTCTGATTTAGCTCAATCCAGATACCTATCCTTGCATAATAAACTTCTGAACCATCAGAATCCTCTTGTTTCTAACCTTGCTTCCTCTTCTATCCCTGATAACCCTCCGAGGCGTCTGAAAAGAAGATGGCTGCACCCTGAGATGCCACAAACATATGCCAGGGGTGTCGAAGCAATAATATCCTATAATATTTAAAGCCATTTTTCAATTTAGTGAATAGATACTCTAAAAATTAACAATAAAATATTTATTAATAACAGAATTAAAATTAAAATAATTCAAATTTAAGACAATATGTGGGCAAAATGGATTTGGTACATAAATTTTTTAGTCCAAGGGTGCCATGATGAAAAGTTTTTAGCCCACCTGGTGTGCCGTGGCAAAAAAAAATTGAGAGTTAGGATAATCATTTTTAGTCCAGTAGACTTATTATAAAATTTCAATTTAGCTGAATAATTATTTGTAAATATTAATTTTAATTTATTGCTTAGAAATTGTCTTCATACATGTTTATCCATGTAGAAGAAATTAAAATAACAAGAACATTTATGTTTCTCATGAAAAATAAATAAACAAAATCTTTTACACCCCCTTTACGCCTTTATCAAATAAATTATGGAGCACAAAAAAAATTGTATTAATAAACGAATCATTTTCACCTATGAAAAAACTTGAAAACTGTGTTTATTTCTATAGATTTTAATGAACCCACTGTCCATTAAAATCAATAGACCAGGAAGTGTCTATTGAACCAAGGTTCAATGTTACTCTGTCAAGAAAAACTTTAATGTGTCAATTTAATTTAATGTATATGGACTGGGTTCATTCAGCTTATAAAAAGTGACCTAATAGACTACCTTGGACAATATAAAAATGGGTTTCTATGTTAATGTATTTATGATGTTAATTATATTTACAAGAACTTTAGCAGGAATTTAGGGCCACATAAACTACACAAAATGACATCAACAGGACCTTCATAAACAAACTACAAATTGAGATAAAAAATAAAAATCCATAAGGAATTTTTCTTAATTTATTCTTTTATGTAGGCATTAAATAAAAAAAAACCATTTATACAGCTTTGAAGAGCAATAAATCAACTTACCAACGAATATAGTTACATCGAATTTGGAGAACATCCCGAGGAGTTATGAATGATTGGAATGATGTTCTGTTCCACCAAGACAATAGAACCTTTTGCCCTACCCTCCCTATTCACCAGGCATATCTCTAAGTGACTACCATTTATTCCGACCTCTGCAGAACTCCATGAATGGAAAGAAATTCTAAAAGGAAGAGAACATCAAAAACCCTTGGATCAGTTTTTTAACAATAAACTCCAGAAATTCTACGAACATGGCATTATGCAGTTAATGGAAAGATGGGGAAATGTCAGACTAAATAATGGTCAATATATTGTCGATTAAAATTAATTTTTTGTCTATAATACATTAAGTTTTATTTCATCCTGAAAAACCGAAAGGACTTATTTGCCAAACCAATAAGTATAGAAAAAATAAATTTGAACATGTAGAGAAAGTTAGTTATTTAGGGTTCTCAATAATTAGAAAAAACGATAAAAAAGAAGAAATTAAGGCTAGATATTAAGACTAAAAATCATTGTTATTTATTGGTTTAAAATTACATTACTTATGCCTTCTATCCCAAAATTTACACTATAATTTACAAAACTATTATACTTCCTATAGTTCTTTATAGATGCAAAACATAGCTGTTTACATTGAAGGATGGACAACGCCTCTGGATTTTGAAAACAAAGTATTGTGCAAAATATTTAGAATGAAACAGGACAAGTTAAACAGTGAATTTAAACAGCTATAAAATGCCAAATTATGTGAACTGTATCCAATGAATTGAGATGATAACTTTGCTATTTTTTGCAACTTGGATCAAAGATAATTTGATTTCTTCATTACAAATTTGAGTAGCATTACTGGGTATCAGTCTATTTGTTGATAGAACTTATCAAATCTGTGTTATTTTGAAATTTTTAAAATTATTTGGGATATGATTGTGTATTGCTGCATAGAAATATTCATATTTCCTTAATTAAGATAGTGTAAATCTTCCATTGTCAGTATATATTTTTTAATTTATATTTTTATTTCTTTGTGTTTTCAGAGGAACTAGAAGTGAAAGCTGTCGAGAGAACAGAACACCAACCCTTACAAGTACACCATTAACCCACAACGTATCGTCAACTCTTTCTAGTAGGATATCAGGTAAATGTCACAGTATTTTGAGGTAATGTGGCGTAAATGTGGAACCATATAACGCCATAATCCATACTTTTCAATGAAACAAGAAAAAAGTTTAGAAAATTAATTTTTATCATATTGGAATGTTTTTCTTTAGTAGTTTATTGACTAGGGAATATTTACTTCTTGAACCTAATTTGCACCCTTAATTTTAATCAGAAATTGAAAGATTTCATTGAAAAAAGTCATTGATGAAAATAAGTATATTAAGTTAATTAATATATTTAAGGTAGCTGATCTATACATTCCTGTTTTCTTCTAATTATAATCTTTGTTTTATATTGAATGAGTAATGAACTAGATGATGAAAAAAAAACATTGTTTGAAAAATCAAATGGCAAAAAAAAAAAAAAATATATAAATAAGAAGTGATATAAATTACAGTAGTAAATGGTATGATAGACCAATATAATGAAGTTCATTGAACCAGAGCCTTCAATAAAAATAAATAAAAAAATGAAAAGAATTATTTATTAAGGTTTCTTCTTGAATGTAGAGATAATGTAGTGTTTTTATTTATTATTGTTTTTTTTTACTTAAAATAATTAATTTGTACCTGCATAATAATAAAGTTATGCACACCCTATTTCTTTAGATTCAAAACAAAAAGGTTAAGCAAGGTTGTAACATATGATAAGGGTGTATATTATTATAATTAATTTTTTTTTTAAGATGCTTATTTATGTTTATTCAGATTCTTCCGACGGGGGTAGGTCAAAAGGCAGAAGGAGGCCACTCATGGGGACAAGAGCGATATTTTCAAACTCGCAACATGATCTTCACTCATCTTCCTCGCACGCCTCACTCGAGTTGATTTCTCCTATTTCATCGGTCCCACCATACCTTCTCAGTAAGTGGTAGCCTTTTTTCTTAACAACAAAACTACTATGTAAATAAGATGATTTCTATAAATTATGGCTACAGGAGAAGTATGGTAGTTAATTTTATAAGTATAGAGGAATATAAATTAAAAATAATATATTTAAACTACCTTTGTTTAACTTTTTATAAATGTCATTTGTATGAATGTATTTTTTTACTGTTTGTATTATAAAGTGGTCTGTTTTGTATTTTTATTTTTAAAATAAATTGTATTTGAAATTTCAATTAAATTATGTACATATTTATTTATGGTATAAAAAAAAATGTATACCATAAACCAAAATAACAATAATGTGTTATTTATTACTGTTACTATTTGATTCATCTATATTAAAATTCATATACATCTGGCAATATTACAGACAGATTCCTTAAGTATGTACGTTTGTTAATGATTGATCACCTTCATTTTGGAGATATCATTTGTTTAAATGTAGTGGTATGAGACTGAGTTTCTGAAATTAAGTGTTTATACATTATATAATATTTTGATAATTTATATTTTATTATACAAAAAGGACTTAGAATTTCCAATGATTATTTATTAAGATTGTTTCAATAAATAAATCTTCATGTATGATATAAAATAACAATTTTCGAAGAAACATTAATAAAAAACTATGAGTAGGAAAATAAAAATTGTTTAACATAAGAAGACATCATCTTTTTATTCCCCCAATGTAGGTCCGTTTAACATCATAAAGTCATACTTTAAAAAAATATTAAATGAATATTTATTATTATTTTTTTTTTGCCTCTGCTATGCAGGATCATTGACAACACTGTTAACTGAAACTTAGTTATAGAATTTTACTGTTTTCAAGAATTTGATTTTTTTTTTGGCTGTTTTTTCACTGTCATTTAAATTTCTTTAAGGTGCCAGATCCATCTTTTTTCTTATGGTTTTGAATTCTGGGCAGTCATGTTTGGTGTGTTTGCCTGTTCTTTGAACATTAATACTATCACAGTTAGAGGTTCTAGTCCTTTTAGTAAATAGCCATGTGAGAACTGACAATGCTCAATCCTTAATTGGCATAGGACAGATTCTTGTTTCCTCGATAGTAAAAAGTTTTTCATTTGAAACAGTGTTTTTTTTTATTTTCTTTAATTTAGCTTCTTTTTGTTCCCACTTATTCTGCTATATTTTCCACAGCTCCTTCTTTGATTTTTCTAACTAGTCTTCTGCATGTACTTCATTCAATAATACAACCAGCGTTGTTTCCTGTTATATTTGCTGCTTGATTAGCTTTTTCATTTTCAGTTATTTCACTGTGTAAAGTGACCCAGATTAACATTATTTCTCCACTCTTCTCTCTTAATAGCCAGTAAATGTTTCTTACTCCTCTCTCCAGTATAGTTTTTGGTCTGACGTTTTCTGTTCTGAATTTCTCTCGAATCCATTACAATGGTCCAATTGTTACTCTCAGTTATCTCAATACATGTTAGGCCTTTCCTTATTATATAGGCTACCATTCCTCCGGGAGAGGGGTAGTCAAGTGGCCTAACACGAGTGCATAGAACCGTGCGTTGCCCAGCAACATGATAATCAAAGTTATGAATGATAAAATAGTTAGCGTTCCAGTGCTAAGAGGGAGCTTTTAACTCTGGCATTAATCCTCCGCCCTCATCCCTCTGGCCTGTTAAAACCCCCGTATAGCGTAATAGAGGAGGAAGGGGAGAACAAAAAATAAAAAGCTCAACCATTTCTCTATTAAAAATTTGGCAAGCCTCCACAAGTTTTAAGAGATTTTGAATGTGAAAATTAAAATAGTTTAGTTCATTCTCCACTTTTGAAGCATCCATTATATTGCTTTTGTTTCTCCAAATTTTCCAAAAATATTTTTTGTCCTTCAACTGGGATTGCCATAACTTCTTTTACAACTGGCAATTGAGATGTCTTTTTTTTTTTTTCTGTTCTTTCCTACCTCGCCTTTCAGGCTATACGGGATTTTCTCGGGCCGGGGGGTAAGGGCGGGGAATTCAAAATTCCCTCCGGCACTGGGACGCGAACTCGTACTTTTTAATCTTTTCAAATCTGTTATCCGGTTGCCAGGCAACTCGTGGTGCTGTGCATACACTTTAGCCCATTTGGCCACCCCGCCCCCCTACAATTGAGATATCTATAGCAGACGAGGTATAGATTCTTTGGGGGATTATTATATTTGGCATATCTAATACATTTTCTAATTTTAGTTATAAAATATTTTCCAGAAGTGCTTCTACGTAGTTTTTCTTTCTTCTATTACCCACTTCTTCTCAAACGAATAATAGTTTATTTATTAATATATGTCTTGTGTTTGCCTTGATTTCGAGCTCATACTTCATTGACATAAATAGCTTTTTTTTTTTAACAGAAAGGAGGTTCGCCACTTTAAGCACTTAAGCTTTCTGCAAGGGAGGTTGATAATGCCAAAGTACAAATTCTTAAAGCATAATTGTGTACAATATCCAACATCGTTGAAGTTTTCTTTAACCTTCTACCGTAAACACTTAAAACATAATCCAATTTGCTTCTGATGGTTGTGTAACATATATTCAATAGATTTTTTCTATCCACTCCCTAGATCATGATATTTGAACACAGCAACCCTTGTACATAGTGTCATCGATGAAGTTAATTTTGGCACTTTGTGATACAATTTATATATATTTAGCGAATACTGTAATTACATAAAGTGAAAGCTGAAACAGTTTAAATAATTTTCTTAATTATTTTTCTATGCAAGTATACCATTAAAGTTAATCTCCTGTGAGGTTTGATTTGAACTTTCTCTATTTCTTATTGAAGAATTTTTATAGCTAACCACGACGCTCACAGTTACCTTATCTCGCAGTAGGGTGTTATACACCTGGCTTTAATATATTTCACTTTACTGTAAGCACTTTTGTCCCTCATGAACTACCATCTATTTGATATTTCCTTTTTGACAATTCTCCTGATTTCCTAAAATATTTTTATGTTGGTGTCTCATTCATGTAGCTTTAGAACTTAAGGTAATTAGGTATCCAATATTGAAATTATAGTTTCCTGTGTTATTGAAATCCAGAATTGAAAGACTGAGATATTTAATAGACTTAAATAGACAATAATAGACTTAAATTATTGCTCAGAGTTCAGAAGTCAAGTTTAAAGTTAGTTATGTAGTGAATCGTGAGCTATAAAAATTAACTATATAAATATACAATACAATAAATATATGCAACTATAAATATACAATTGAGTTTTCTGTCTTAGACCCGTTGGTATTAATTAAAAAATATTTTAAAATGCTATAGAGAAAATATGACAATTATGTCATTACTGTAAACTTTCAGCTTAACATACTTATAAGAGAATGGTCTCATTATGTCCCCATTATATTTTATATGTAATAGAACACGACTGACCTCAATTATAAATAAAGTTCTTAATGACAACGAAACTTCAATTATATACATATTTTTTTAATTATAAAAGCACATTACCACCTGTTGTCTAAAGTATACTATCATTTCATTTTATTATGAATCTCTATTGGAAACAAATTAAAAAATATTTTTAGTATACATCCTATTCGTTGTATAAACTAGGGTTTTATACTTTTACAACAAATTAATAATCTATTTAATTATTTTACAGTATGTTAACACTTTTTTTAAAAAATATTTTAATATTATTTTTAGCTACAAATATCAAATGTGTGGACAGTAAATTTCACTCTAACTTTCAAGAAACAATTAGTGAATCTCTTGCTGAAAAGTTTGAGAAAGCTGCTTTCTTAACTGAACGTATTTTAAATACAATTAGGTAAGACTATTTAACTTTATTTCTCACTTTTTTATTTTATTTTATTATTCTTTGATAACAAACATAACTATTTTTAATGTTATAATTACTTAAAGATGCTATAAATTGTATATTATTATATATCTTGAGAATTGTTATACCTAAATATATTGTGTTCTAATCTATTCAAAATCATTATTGGTTAACACTTTTTATAATTAAAACTGAAATAATTTTTTCTAACAGGTTAGAAAGGGCTTCAGATGGTAGCTTAGGTCTCCATGTTACTGAAGGAAAAGATGGCCACGTGTACGTGTTATCAACCGTAGAGGGTACCCCAGCGGCCAACTGTGGAGCTATATTTTCAGGTATTTATGTTTAAAATGTACTTAATATGGTAAAATTGTTTTTCAAGAAAATAATTTTATACTATTTTAATTTTAAACTAAAAACAAATTACATAATTTATACAATTTGGCTATTCATGTTTTAAAAAAAAATCTATACTATATATAATTTGGTTGTAAAGATCTCTTTCCCGGCTCACAGGAGCATTGGATTTCTATGAATGAGGTATCGAGCAAAAGTGAATTTTATGGAGAAGGGATGAATTCCAGTTTCAATCCTCAAATACTACAACTTCAATAAATCATTGATAAAAAATCATTGAAAAATTGTGAGATTTTTAAACTCAGATGTTTTCAAAAGTCAACGGATCAAGGCAGGATAAATTTTGTTTTAAAGCCCTAAAATGTACCATTTTCAACCATAATTTTTGCTGAATGCCTCTTAGGTGATGTGGTTGCCATGGGATACTATCACATGTTTAGTTTTTAACAATTAAAACTTTTTATTTTTATATAAATTAGGCCCATTATCACCAAACATTTTATTGATACGTTATTTAATTCAACATTTCGACCATAAAATGTTTGGTGATAATTGGCCTAATTTATATAAAAAAAAAAACCTCGACACCAAAATTAGGATAAATGAACAGAAGAAATTAAAATTTTGTTACTTATGGTAGTCTTTGACAAACTGAAAATATATTCAAATGGTAAATGGAGATCGGCCCCTCCCTCCAATAAAAATGTCGAGGGGGCAAGAATATCGTTTCATCCCCCTCCCTCAATAATTTGAAGTAAATGAAATTAAAATCAAGAATAAATAAGGTACATGAATGAATAACATGTAATGGATAAATATGTACACTTAAGTCGACTAGTTGACTAGGCTTGTGCCAGGATTTATTGAAGGGATCTAGGATTTTGGGGGGGACTTCAGCCCGAAAGCTGTTTTCTTTGATAATTACTTTGGAAAAAAAGAAAGAAACTAAATATCTATATGAAATGATGTTTAAGGGATTCCTAAAGTCCTTTTAAATGTAATTGCATGAACAATAATACTTTAAGAGATAATTTTTTAATACTTTTTTCCATAAGACATGGTTATATTTTACCATTTTGGCGAGGGCTTCACCCCAAAGCCTCCCTCCTCCCCCCGTAGATCCGCCCGTGGGCCTAGTAGTAGGTATGTAACTATTTTATTGGTAGCTAAATGTTACTTTTATTTAAATCAGGGGTCTCCAAACATTTTGGCCTGCTGGCCACATTATGACCTCCTCCCAAATCCCGCAAGCCATGGCGTGTGACGAAAATAAAACTCTTATTCAATAAATGGCACTTCAATAGTAAAATAATCTTTATAAGAGAAAAAAAAAACAAATATTGTTGCAACCTTGTGTGTGAGTAATTATCTAAATTTCATATTTTTAATATAATTTTTTTTTTTTAAATCGTTTCCCCCCCCCCTCGAATCCAAATCGAAAGTCTGCACTAATCCTTATAATAGTATGGCTTCTATACTCTCAGTAATAGACTTCTATATTCTTAATAAGTGAGAAAACTACAAAGGCTATTCTGCACCTAACAGATAGGTCTTGAACAAGTAGAATAATGGATTAGTACAATTTCATAGCTAGCTCTAATAATTTTATAATACTTAATGATAATTTACTTTGGTTACTTCATATGATTAAGAAATTGTTTGCTATTGGTTTCATATAGATAATGTATAAATAGTTCACATAAATTATTTAAGATAGTTAAGGGTGATTGAGTTGAGACATTTTTTTCTCTTCTCTCCTGTTGTAATGAAGAGATGCAGATAAAATGATTTGGCCACAAAAAATCCCCAAATTTTAAATTATCTGATTATTATGAAACTGTGTAGTTGTTCTCTGTTTGAAGGTGTTAACCAGTAGGGGTTAAAATCTTATTTTTTAAAAGTCTATATTGAATAAAGTATAAAAATAATAATTTGATTAAATTTCAGGGGACCAAATCCAAGCTGTGAATGGGATACCAGTATTGAACATTAGCTACTTTGATGTTTTGAAGTTGATTCAAAGTTCGGACCAGGTAATTGAGCTTGTACTGTCCCAAATAGACCGAGGTCAGCCGATGTCCATCAAGAGTCACCCGACCATTTGTAAAGTTTCTCAAGAGACAGGTGAAATTTTTTTTTAATTATTATTGATTTTTTTTTATTTTCATAGTGGTTTCTTAATAAAAAAATGTATACCTTGTCATGTTCAAAATAACATGTCAAGAAACATTGAATTATATTACTTAAAAATGTTTAATAGTAAACAAAACTGACTGAAATAATTAAATATTTTATATGCTGTTTGTTAGTACAAGTGAATTAGTTTTTAACTTATAAAAAATTTGTTTCAGGAATTGACATGATTGGGGTGTTGCAAAAAGGAATTGAAGCATCGTATTTGAAAACGATAAGGTACGAAATAGCACCAGAGACTGATTCTGATATTGTTTTCTCAACAGATTTACCTCGTCCCATCTCTTCTTATCTATAGAATCGGTAAGTAGTATTTTTCAACTTACTTGCATATATATTTTTTATTTATATGTAGATTCGTGCCTAGCACTACATATTCTCCTTATTGAACAAATCAAAACAATTTGTTTAATCATGAAATTCACCAATCAAGTACAAAATGCTATGGATATAAGTTTGAAAATTAGAACTTTAATGAATTAATTACTCATAGTATTGTCGATTGGTAGCAAATACCATCTTTCTGAAAACAAGCGAATTTTGTGTTAAAAAAAACACTGTACTACGAAAGCAATTCAAGAATTGTCCTGTTTTTTGAGCGAAATTGATGCCAAGTCATTGATTGAAACAGGTAGTAACTAGCCTGTATAAGGACGGATGTCAGGATAATGTGGCCAGTGGGGAAGAACATCCAATTTGAGTGTTTTTATTATGTTTTTCAAAAATGCCTCCTCTAATTTTACACTCTCTAACGTTCCTAGCCCTCAGTAATTTTCCTCATCCTCTTTGTTAAAATCATCTCCTTTGAATTTCTTAAATAAGTTTATACTGATTGAGCATTGTCTCATTTTGCCAAAGGCTTTTTTTCTCAAATAGAAGCAAAAAAGTAAAGTTTCCCACTAATTATGTTCTGTTGGCACAAAAGTAAACATATTGGGAATACTATATTTTTTAAGCTATGATATAATGAAACATAACCATAACTAAAATTTAATGATGATGTTTTAATATGAAGCTGGTTAGGTCATAGTCCAATGGATGGGGAGGGGCGGGGTTGACCGAGTGGGCTAACATCTGTGCAAAACATGCATTGTCTGGCAACCTGAAAACTAAAAATAATTACGAATTAGCCTCCCGGTTCTAGGAGGGGGAGGAGGGAAGTCTTTTAACTCTGCCATTAATACCTTGCCACCAACCTTGGCCTGAAAAAAAAGGTATAGCCCAGGAAGTAAGTGAATAAGAGGTGAAAAAAAAAAGGTACTAGTCTAATGATTATGGATTGGGCATATGCGTTAAATATGGCAACCTTGATAAACCGAAGATCACGAGTTGAAATGCTGTATCCAGGGAGGAGAGAGCGAGGGGGAAACTTTTAACTCTGGCTTAATTCTCCACACTTTCACTTGGAGAAAAATCCCATATAACCTAAAAGGCAATGAAGGACAGGAATGAAAAACGTCATAGTCTAATTTAGGGCAGGGTGAACAAGCAGGCTAAGCACAACAGAACAAGCAACTGTTGTGCACACACGTTGCAACCTGGTAAACAGAAGATTATGAGTTGCAGTCTTGGTGCAGGGGGCTTTTAAGTATGGCATTAATCTTCCACTCTCTCCCCTGGTCTGGAAAAAAAAATCTGTTACACCTGATATAATTCTTCTAGAATAATGTAGTGAAAAACCCAGCAGCACTTTTCAAACTTTTTTTGTTGCCCATAGCATTTTTTTCAAACTAAAACATTTTCACTGTACCCTTATTAGGTTAAAAATTGTTTGCAATACCCTTATAGGTCTTATACATTTTTTAGCACACTAATTCTCATACAAGAATACTAGTATCTTTCTCCATTTTCAATGCAATTTTTTTGTCCGGATATCTTAAATTTAAATATTCCATATCAAAATTAAACATCATTGCTGTTACCCAGTTTGATAACTCCTAGCTTATAGAACTTTTTACTTTGAAAATTTCCTTCATTTTATTAGAAATTACTTTATTGTTACAATATGTAAATAATTTTAACTTAGAAATCAGTTTTAATCTCTGTTTTATTTCTAATATACTCTTTTTCTTTGTTTTAGGCTCGTTTAATCTGAATCCCTCCTAATACGCTCTAGTTCTCAGAAAATTTAAGCGAGGTGGAGGATAAGCTAATAATTATTTCACTTTTTGTGAATGTTATTGAACTTTATCTAATTCCAGAACAAGTTGTCCCGTAACAGTTAACTGCACACCCCAATTTTATTAAGTCTCTAGATCCTATGAAAAATGTCGTGCCTCATGATATTAAGGACGTGGAAATTTACATTCTACCAGTTTAGGCCAAAGCTTTATATAGTTATGTATCATATAGTGATAGATATGACAATAACACACTAACATAATAGAACTGTTTAGAAAAACCGAGGAAACAGGTGGGGGCGATTAAGTGGTATAAAAAAGTATTTAAAAAACAAACAAAAAAAACCATGATGAATAAATATCATTGTATACCTAATCATATTGCATGTTGATTTAATATGATTGTGAATTATGTAAAAATGGCTACAGGTATTTATCTATTGTAAATGTTAATAATGCTTCATAAAGTTTTTCAATTTTTTTTTTTCAATAGCGCTTTTATAAATTGTGTGAAACTCTGTGTATTATAAACATTATTAAGGGCAATGAGCTTCAGAAAATTTTTTTTAATTTGAAATTTTATATGAAAACCTTTAATTTTTCTAGCTCATGAATGTTAGCAACATTAAAAAAATACTTGATAGATTAAATGAGAAATTTTCTATAGTATACTACTAAATCATTTCAATGTAAGTAACAATAAAAATTTATTGATTAATAATTTTTTTGTTCTATATTGTTTATTGCTTAGGAAAAGTTTAGAAAATGAAATATATACATGGTTCATTTATCTCTTAGTTCTCAGCTCATTGTCCTTAATGATACAATATATTCTGTTAGTAATTATAAGATCTCATAAACCTTTTTAATTTCTGGTTTTATGTTGTTGTTTTTTGTCGATTCTTATCCGTACAGCTCCAAAAAAATAGTTAATATCCTCAGACGTTCTATTAAGAAATTTTATATAATACATGCAGGTTATAAATATGCAAGATTGTAAATTATTGGTGAAGCGTAGCTTCTTATTTGTTGTGATATATATATATTAGTTTGTTTTTGATTTATAAAAATTATGTATATAATGTATACATGTAAAATGTAAGTATTCGTTATTAATCACTTTTTCCCAGGAATAATCTTGAATTTTTTTAACTCTCTAAGGTTCAGAGTGAGAATTAGATCATTTAAATAATAACATACAGTGGGCCTTTAAAATTCCAAATACAAATTTTGAGTTCTTGCCTACATTTCATATTTTTGATGATCCTGTTCTTATTTTGACAATGTGACATATTTAAATCTCATTTTTAACACATAAAGTATTCAATAAATTAAAAAAAACTTTAAAAACATAATTAAATATGTTATCGGTTAATACCTAATGACAGAAACACCAATTTTTACAGGTTCCATTAATATGAGATGTATTTGGTGACCAATTTGAATCCATTACACTTTAAGAGGTTAAATTAAATAAAAACCTGTATAAATATTTAAATTTAAATTATGTTTGATCCTGTAGTATAATTAACCTATAACTTAAATATGCATGGTTTGATTACTAACTAAGGATTTTCTACAATATTTTCAGTACATCTCACTGGTCCAATCATTATGTTAATTTTGACTATTTTTTTATTTTCAGTAGTGTTTTTCTCAAGTCAATTAACGTTTTAACAAAACATTAACAAAATCAATAATTTAGACACATGTAATGAATAATACGATTCAATCATGATATTATTTTTCATCATGAGTTTTCTCATGACACAAAAGCATTAAAAGAGCCTACTCTTTACTTTTACTGGTTATGATTAATATGAATCAAATTAGGATTGTAATAAAAAACTAAAAATAAAAAACCAAAATAGTGTTTTAATATTATAAAAATCTACTTCCGATTGTTTGTGTATGTTATTTTTTATTTGAAGTTGGTTAGAAAATTGCTTCCCTTCTTGCTTCATTAATGGCTTACAACAAAGTTATTTTTGTAGATTCGGTTGTTAGACAACTTATGACAAAGATGTTTGGGTTTAATTTTATGTATATCATTTGATTTTGTAAAAGAATTGATGCAATTTCTATGTTTATTAGAAAAAATAGCCAAAAGTTAAGAGTGACCACTTTTTATGCTTTTCATGTCCAAATTTTTCCTATAAAAATTACTTTTTAATTTTTATTAAAGTTTAATAATGTTTAGCTGGTGCCGAGGAATTTTTCATAACACAAAAAGTTTTCAAATCTAGAGCTCAACTTGATAATAAAGAAAGTTTATTGTAAACTTAAATTTTTCAAGTGTTAAAGTTAAAAATGAAATAAAATATAAAATGAAATGATCATAATAATAATTATTATATTCAAGATTTGAAAACTTTATACTGTTCTAAAAAAGTGTAGTATTGCATTTTTGCTTAACACTGGTCATTAATGACTTCACATACTGAAAATGATTATTTCTGTAATTAACGCAAAACAAACTTCGTTTAGAAAAATACAACTAACAACACTAACTCTTTAAAAACCACTTTTAATAATTGCCTTTACCTTTTCAATCCAAATTAATTTTTAAAGGTAGAAATATTTTAACTGCTCATTATTATTATTATTTACATTTCTTAAAGAGCTTAAATAACTTTTTTATTTTATTTCTTTATGGGTGATTAAATATCTTAAGATCTGATTACTGGATATTCTAATAAATATCCAATCTTTTTTTTTTTTTTTGTAGTAATAAAAAATTAGAAAACATGGGTGTTATGTAGCTACTTTCAGGAGGTCTTTTGTTTGATAATTTAAAACAGTATCTGCGTTGCTTTAAATGTAATATGAAACAAATGGTTTTCAAAAGGGCTAGGCCGATCTTTTTGTATTGTTATAGGATTATTTATCATTTAACATATCACATTATTACAAATGGAAAAGGCCTTTGTAATGTTAGTTAGCTATTGCTTAGTACAGTATAAAAATGTAAATGTTAACACACGAATGTATATTTTTAATATTATCTTAACAGCAATATATTTTAAATGCCTCTATGTTACAAAAACCACCAATGTTGTGAATGTATAGCTTTTTTTAGCAAGCGTGCCAATCAAGGGCAATTGTATTTAGTTATATTATGTTCTGCATATTTGTATTTAATTTTGCATAATTGTGTATAAAAATATTATATTCTTTATAAATAAAAAAACACAAAAAGAAATGCAGTTGAAATGATGGTGCATTTATTAGAAATTAAGATGGAAAATTTATATGATAAACTTTTGAAATAATTATATGTATATTGAAAAAAAGTTATCGAAAGAAATTACTTGTTGTTTTATATATATATCTATATATTTAAATGAAACTGAGTGAGTCAAATGTTATTCGTAGGTTTGAATGTATATTGTAATGAGAGTCATATATATATATAAATTTATACTCCCTTGATGATAAAGGAAATGTTATACAAGAATTTATTAAAATACGAAGACTGCACTTAGCGAAGATGATAGAATATAGTGAATTTATCTCTGTTAGATATTTTATAGTTATCCGAGTAGAAAAACATTACCAGATTATTGCAAATGTATAAATATATTGTTCATATCGCTGATTAATGTTTTTATTTTTTTAACCCTCTCATAAAATATAAGCACATGCAAACTAAGTAGTTGTTGGAAATATTTTACTTTTATTCATAAATGTTCTCTTTAAAAATTATTCTTGACACCTGCTGTGAATATGCCTAGATATTTCAGAAAATTAATGCTCCCGCCATTACCCCCTGGCGCAGGAAAACCACCGTATAGTCTAAAAGGCGATGAAGGGGAGATCCAGAAAAAAAAAAAAAAAATAATGGTAACATATAATTGAAATTAATATATATTAATTTTTTATTTTTAATAATGGTAGTTTTATGAAGGAAATGATGGATATACGTTCTTATATTTTATTTTATACTACCTATATTTTTTTTAAATATCGGCAACAATTTTATTTTCTAGAAAATTAAAAAAAATAAATATATATATATGGTTTTATGAAGGAAATAATAATAATACTCTAATCAAAGAAGTTATAATTGCAATTTATTTGTCTGTATAGCAACAGAAGTTAAGTATTACGTATTAATATAAATAATAACATAGTACAAATAATTGTAAAACAAATCTAAACTTCATTCATAAAAATATAACTGCATACATCAGCTAAATTTATGTATGAGGTACAAGTGTGGTCGATCCTCTTACGAACGGCAACACTGCTTGGAAACCATATTAACTACCTTTTGGTTGACCCTCGCTATAAAATAAGTAATAAAACTGCTCATGCTATAGAGGAGATAAAAGAATATAAATCATTGAAAGAAGTATTTACACGTCTATGTAATAAAAAAAAAAACCCTGTACTACTAACAACCTATGAAGGGTTATGCGTTCAGTATAATGTGAGGAAGTACTGTTACAAGGCCAGCGGTTGTGCAGGGAGGTGACAAGCCAATATCATGCTCCTATGTAATAAAAGATCTTTATCTAAAAAAAAAAAATGTGTATCAGTTGTGATAAATAGTAAAAAACTATTAAGGCCAAAATCTGTTCCTAATGACCGACAGAATAGACTGATTCAAAACATTGTACTTATTATCCATTTTCTCCTGACTGCATCCTAGGGGAATAACCTTTGATCAGAACTTCTCCTGCAATGACCATATTTCTCAGATTACCTGAAAATCCATAATTACCTCCCTTCCCTCCCCCCACTTCAACTACAGTTGCTTGGTGGATGTATAGAGGGCTGTCTGCAAGGCTGGAGATGAGATTAAAGAGACTCATGAACTGTTTTATAAGATACATCTTTGGGATTCTCAGGCATTCTCATGTTTCTTGCTGGTACACCGAGTTGAACTGCCTTTATCTTACTTCCCGATGGTAATTCTTTATTTCCTTGTTTTCCTTTTCAAAGTCTTCAGAACCAAAAATCTTCTTTAAAATCTTCAAAAAACGATCTTTAACATTGTAAAATGAAACAGTATCCTAAAATATTTTGAAATGCATGTGTTGCTTTTACATCCAACTGCGTTTTTAATAAATATGTATGATTCCACCTTATATTTTTTAATAGTAGATATACATTAAACCACGCACGTATTTAAATACAATGTTAAGCCAAAATTTCAAGGCAATGGGCTAGGAACTTTCTGAGATTTAAGAGTTTAAACAACCGAACATTTACACTTTTAAATGCCATAAAATGATTAACACATAGTTGAACATTAAACAATACATTAAATATAAAAAAAATTAAATATGAAAATATATGAGTGGCTTGATATCAAAGGGCGGATATCTGTAATTTTCAGAAAGCGAAGGTAGAGTCAATTTTAGTTTTATAAGTTCAACTCAGACTGTTTCTGATGATTAAGGATAAAGACG